CCAGAAGCTTGCCCTTTATCTATGTTTTATACAGGGTCCAGCAGAAGTGAGGCCTTGAGTGTGGTTGGTGGGGTAAGAATATGGGTGTCACAATGTACAGTTTTAATTTGAACATTTCACCTAAAATGTCATATGATCTGCTTGAGTGTTGCTATGTTACAGAATTACATGCTTATGATTTGTTACGGAATTACATGCTTATGATTTTGTAATAAAAAAAAAGGGGGGGGCGTTATTTATGCCAGATCCTCTGTATTGGGGTTCCTTGAGGTTTTTGTTTAAGGAAAGGGTCTTGGTGGTTAAACAAAGACAAGAAGCTAACACTCCTTGAGTCGTACCGGGGGATATCCTTTGCAGGTGTGTGCTGAATGCCAGACACAGGGATGACCCTTCTCTGGCTGCTCCTTGACCCCAGGCCTGAGTCACCTCTAGTCAGGTGACGTGCCCTCTCCCACTGCGAGTGTTTGTGCCCGTGTGTCGTGTGTGCGGCTGTCGGGGCGGAGGCCCTGCCTTTCGAGGTGTGTGGGGCGCTGGCTGCCCTCAGGTTCCGGTCACTGAGTTGAGGGGGAGGTGGGGTGGTGATCAGGGGACTTTTGCCCAGCCTTGGCTCAGAGTGGTGGTCCCCTGCTGGGAGGCCACTTAGCCTCTCTGCAGGTGACCAGCTGGCCACTAGCACCGCACCTGGCCTTCCCTGCTGGCCGGTGACCTGCCCCAGCAAGGCTCAGCATCCCCAGGGCTCCACCCATCTGGGACCCTGGCCGGAAGCTGCTGGCGGATCCCCCTATCAGGGCTGAGGTGGCCAACAGCCATTCTTCTCAGGTATCTGATGTGGCTGCCCGTGCCTCAGTTTCCCCATGCAGACAGGGCACCCCTGGGGCAGAACCTCCCTTCTCCTACCCCACCAGCACTGTGCTGAAAGAGCCCACAGGGTGGTCCAGTCCTGTCGTTCTCAATTCTGCAAAATGCTGGGGTGAGGTTTGAGGGGGAAGCCAGTCCCCCACCTTTACCTCAAGCAGGTTTTAACTAGATTTAGGAGAACTGGCTGATTTTGCAGCTGAAAAAAAGGGGGGGCGGTTTCTCCAAGTTTCCCAAATTACGATATAGAGTCAGAGGCCTAGAGGAGAGAATCGGTTTATTCAAGGCCTCAGAGCCATTAGCTAATGATGGTAAGTCCATTTACTGAGGGCGCACTGCGTGTCAGCATTTGCTACATGTATGACCTCCTGCACTTGGTACATGTATGGTCTCCTTCCCTGTGACACATCATCCAGTAGGAACAACTGTCGCCCCCATTCGGCAAATGAGGAAACTGGGGAGCACAGAGGTGAAATGGTCACAGGATTAGAAAATGACAGTTTAGGGATCTGAACGGGGAGGCTGCCCCGTTCAACCCAGGCTCCCACGCCAGACCTGGCACTGCCAGGCCGCCTTGCTGGGTGGTGGGAAGGCAGCCCCCACTCCTGCCTCACGGCGTGCACTCCTCCATCTGGACCTGATTCTTCAACACGGCCCCGGGCATCTGAGCCAGCCCCCTTCGGGGTGGGGAAGGCAGGAATGGAGCCCCGGGGTGTGCCTGCATCCAGGTCTGGGGCTCCAGGGGGGAAGGGAGGCCCCCTGAAGGCTGGAGGAAATGGGGAACTGAGTGAGGCTTTTGAAAGGGGGCCGGCTGGGAGTGATGGCGGTGGAGGGATAACTCACTGACCCGCACTCATGCTTTTCCGGGCAGAACTTCTGTGTCACCTTGGTGCCCTCACTTTCAACCTCCAAGTACCCTATCTGTAAAATGGGCCTGGCTGACCCAGTCTTGCAGCTTCTGAGTGGAAGTCTCTAAGGAGGTCACAGCCCTGGAAATGCTTTTCTATCTGTAAAGCAGCATATGCCTGGGACCGCTGTGGGGTTCGCCAAGCGGGTGGGCGCTGAGGTAGCCAGGTGTGCTGCTGCCACGATTAACCTCATGGGAACGAGGCAAGGTAAACATGAAAACAGATGGGGTGTAAAGCCTGGCTTCTCTCCTTACTCTCACTCGCTGTGTGTGCAGGGATTCATCCGCCGTCTCTGTGCCTTCCTGCTTGCCTTCTGCACGGGGATCCCGTGGCAGACGCTCAGCGCGTGAACTGCTTCATCACTCTGCAGCAAGGAGGGGGCCAGGTCGCATGATGAGCGTGGTGGTCCACCCCCCCTGCCCCCGCATGCTGTCGCCATGGTGGGGTCTCCCCTACAGGTGCCTGGAATCGCAGCTGGGAAGAGTGGCTCCTCTAGGTTCCATCCCTAGCCTGCGACCTCGGCAGGTCACGGACCCTCTTTCTGCTACGTCCGTTGAACAGGGATGTCACTTCCCTTTCTACCTCAAAAGCTATTTACTTTGAGAAGCAAGGTCAGGAATGGATGTGAAAATGCTTTGGGGGAAAACAGAAAGCGCAATACAAACGTATGAGCTGCTTCTTGTAACCTTCTTCGTCCTGCCTGTTCTGCTTTTGTTTTCTCTTCCCACACTTGGTCTGGTGCTAACCTCAAAGCAGACACGGAAAGCTGTAATGACTGGAGACAGATGGCCGGCCTTGAGGAGTACAGGGAGGCCAGAGACCTGCTGCTTCCACCATTGACAAGCTGTGGGGTTTGGGGCAAGCCCCCACCCTCTCTGGGCTTCGGTGCCCCCATTTGTAAATGAGGATTCGGGCTGGGCCATCTCTGCGCGTCTGCCTGGCTCCGGCGGCTCTGACATGGGAATGAAGGAACTGCTACTGCTCTTCCTCACTCATTTCCAAGTCATTTGTCAAATGTTTAGGACACGTCCACTCTCGGTCAGGCGCTGAGAGCCTGATGCTTTGTTTTCGTAACAGTCCCCTGAGGCACACAGGCAGATCCCCGGCCACAAACCCCACATTACAGCTGAAACTGTGGAAGTTCAGATAGGGGCCAGGACTCACGCAGTCCCACAGCTCGCAAACGGCAGGGCTGGCACTGAGACCCAGGCCTGAATCCAAAGGTCATCATCATTCCATCTGCTGCATGGCCTGTGCGTCCCATTTGTCAGCCCCTTCGTCCCCTTTACCCCCCAAGATGTCTGGTCTCTGGAGTCAGATGACTTTTAAACACAGTTTGGGGAGGAGGCTGGGCGGGCTCCTCTCCGGGAGCCTCTCTACCACATGCTCTATCGCCAACTCCCCTTCTCCCTCTAGCGCCCCCCTCCCCGCCCCTGAGAGCTCTGGGATTAAGGAGAGAGTGAACCCGAGGATACTCCTTCAGGGATAGGACCTCTTGCGAGGCCGCAGGTCGAGCCAGTGGAGGCCTCGCCAGGGCGACCTAGATGTTTTCCCTAGCCTTGCTTGCAGCAGGTGGCGTGACCCCGAGGGACGGCGGCACCTCTCTGTGCTCAGGCTGGTGCCGTGGAGCGCATGCAGTCGCTAGGGGGAGAGCAGGTGCCCTGGGCAAGGATAACGAGCTCTCCTCGCGCACCTTGCCCTCTCGGAGTTTCAGTCTGCTTGGCAGATGCGCTGGGGCTGCCCCAGTTGCCCTCCTGGGATCAGGGACCCCGCTCCTCCGCTCAGAAGCCACAGGCTCTCCCAACGACTCTTGGATGTTGTTGGAAGGGAGGTCCCCGAGGGCAGAGGGCTGCAGGCCGGGGACGTCCCCGGCTGAGGAAGCGGACGCTGAGAGCGGGGCATCCCGGGCGAGCCCGGCGTAATGAGGCGCTCCCCTCTCCTCCGGGAGGCGGGGCTGCCGGTTTCCTCCCCCCACCCCCACCAGCCTCCACCCCCACCAGCCTCCACCCCGAGGCCCCGCGGGAGCCAGAGAGCCGGGCCTTCCAGGGCGAATGGAATGGGGGAGGGAGAGTGTGGTGAGGCCGAAAGGGCTAGGCCCTGAGATTCCGAAGCGGGGCGCAAGTGGGGTGGGGGTTTAGGGGTTCCCTGGTTTGCGGCTGGCAGGCGAGGCCGTGTCCGCAGGTCACCTTGGTGCCTTCCGACCTTTTGCTCCAGCATCTAGCCTCTAGGCAGAGACCGGCATCCACCTGTCCTCCCCGGAGTCTTCCGCCCGCGCCCGGTCCCGCTCCCTGAAGCCCCACTCCCACCAGCTCCCCCGGGTCGGGACAGGCGGGTCCCGCGCGGAGCAGCCGCGCACCGGCTCGGGACGGGTAAACACCCGGCGGGAGGGGCGCGGGGGTGGGGAGGAGGCGCGCGGAGGCTGCCAGGACGGGGCGGGGTTAGCTGGGGGCCCCCCCGGGCGGGCGGGGCGCTGGGTGCTGGGGGCGGGGGCAGGAAGCGGGCCGCGGCCCGGCCGGTCTGCGCGGCCCCGTGACGTCGCTTGGCTTCCAGGGATCTCTCCCCGAGGCCCCGGGCCCCCGCGCCCCCGCCCTTTCTGCTCTCCTCCCGAGCCTCCCCTCCGCGCCGCCGCTGCCGGCGTTTCTGGCTTGCGCTGCTGGCGGGCGGGCTCCGCAGTCCCAGCCGCCCTCTTCTCTCCTCGCTCGCTCACTCTCCTCCTTCCCTCCCCGGCGCGCGCTCTCTCTCTCGCTCTCTGTCCTCCCTCCAACCCGTTTCTTTCCCTTTCCATCTCTCCTTTCTTGCCTCTGCCTCTCGGATCCTGATCTCGTTGTTCCCTCCCCCCTTTCTTTCCCCTCTTTCTCTCTCTTCGGTCTCTTTTTGTTCATTCCCCTGCCTCCCTCCCTCTCTTTCGGTCTCTGTTTTTATCCCCGTCTCCCTCTCGGTTGCTCTCTCACCCCCTCCCCCGGTACCCACCCACCTCCTGCCCTCCCTCCCCCCGCGCCTCCCTCCCTCTCCACCCCTCGCCTCCCCGCCGCTCTCAGCTCCCCAGTCAGCCTCTCGGAACCCGCGCTGCAGCCGCCCGCACTCGCCGCAGGACCGGCCCGCCGGCTCCCGGGAGTGTGCCCTCCTGGCCCCGCGCCCTCTGGGCTCGCTGGGACAGCCCTCCCCTCCCCCCTCGCGGCCCCGCCCGGCCCGGCCCCCCGCCCCGCGCCGGAGCGCGCCGAGGATGTGAGTCCTGCCGGCCTCTGCCAGAGCAGCAGCCCCTTGCTCGCAGATCCCGAGCGCGGCGCAGCGCGGCGGTGGGCGCTCGCTGGGTCGCTCGGGCGGGCTGCGCTCTCCTGCCCTAGCGGTGTCCCCCCTCTACTCGCCGGCGCCCCAGCCGCCGCCGCAGCCCCCGGGCCGTCCCCGGCCGGCCGCTCCCGGCCCCAGCGCCGCTGACCCTGTCCGCCGCGGGCGGGGACGCGGGCGGAGGAGGCGCCGCTGCGGAGCCCCCGGACGCGACCATGTCGGAGGTGCTGCCCTACGGCGACGAGAAGCTGAGCCCCTACGGCGACGGCGGCGACGTGGGCCAGATCTTCTCCTGCCGCCTGCAGGACACCAACAACTTCTTCGGCGCCGGGCAGAACAAGCGGCCGCCCAAGCTGGGCCAGATCGGCCGGAGCAAGCGGGGTGAGTTCGCGGCCTCCTCCCCAGACACCCTCTTTCTCGGGCACTGGGGCCTGTCGGAGGTTTGCGGGGTTCCCCCGCACCCGGGAGCCCGTTCCGACCCAGTGGAATCCCTTCGAGCAGAACTGGGGGATCCCGCACTGCGGGTCCGGCTCCGGTGGGCCGTGGGAATCCCTCCCGCTCCGCCTGATCCCCGGTGGGGTCACCCAGGGGGCGTGGCGGCTTCGAGCTGCAGGGAGGGCTGAAAGGTTACACCAGGACCCCACCCGCGCCAAAGTTTGTTTTTTTTATTTCAACCCCCCCTTTGTGCAGTGGGGTCGCAGCTGCACTCACTCCGTCACCGGGGGTGGGGGTGTCCCAGGACTCCCCGGGGGACTGCGTGTGGAACTGCGGGAAGAGGACCCCATTCCTGCGGGGAGGACGAGGGGCTTTCAGGGTTTTCATTGTGACTTGACAGCGGGTGGGGATTTGCCCGCGTCTGGGCGCTCGGCGCGAGAGCTGGAAAAGCCCGGGAGAGACCGGGACACAGAGCGGGTCGAAGGGGGGCTCCAGAGGCGCAGGGACAATGAGGGGGGCCGACAGCAGCCGGGAGAGACTGACACGCAGAGGTGGGGGGGGGGTGTCCGTTGGGGGTGGGGACCGGGATGGGCAGAGACCGAGACAAAGCTCGGGAGAGGGAGCCAGAGCGGGAGAGACTGCGAGCGGGGACGCCAGACTGGGAGGGCAGGGAAGCAGCCGAAACAAAGAGGGTGACCGACACCCCCAACACGGAGAGGGACCCAGAGACCTCGGAAGGCGCCCGTGGCGCCGAGGGACTAGGAGGGACTGAGGAGGGACTGAGGAAGGCAAGGCTAGGTCGAGATGGCGAGAGAGGCGGAGGACACAACGAGAGGCAGACTCGGAGAGGCGGGCGGCGAGCGGAGGCTCTGACCTCTGCAGCGGCGGGCAGAGCGGAGAGGACGAGTCCGCGTCGGAGCGGGTTGCCGGGGCGAGGCCAGATCCCTGGATCGGCTGCACGCCGTGGGAACCGGCCCCTGGCGTCGCTGTCCCTCCACGCGCTGCCTCGACTGGTCTCAGCGCCGAGGGTCCCAGACCCGGAGACCTCTGCTCCCTCTTCGGCCCTGGAGCCTTGTTTCTAAATAAATGCGTCCCGGGGGTGCGTTGGGTGGGGTGGAAACGGCCTGGGCTGCGGGGTTTGCGCCCTCTCTGTTTCCTTTTCTTAGAACTGAGCGGGGAAACGGCCAGGGGGTGGGGGGAGTGGTTTGAAGGCGAGGGACCCCGGGCAGAGGCCGACAAGGATGGGGCTGTGCGCGCGCAAGGAGCCCTCCTTCCCCGCGCGTCCCCAGCCTCCCCCCTGCTCCCGGGCTTCCCCGAGACCCCTGGCGAGGCCCAGCTCGCTGACTTTTCCTTTTCTCCCCTCTTTTTTGCAGTTGTTATTGAAGATGATAGGATTGATGACGTGCTGAAAAATATGACAGACAAGGCACCCCCTGGTGTCTAACTCCCCCAAAGACAATGAGTTAAGGGAGAGAAAAAGAGTTAAGAGCGGCGGTAACGGTTATTGGCAAAAAGAGCATGAAAAAGAGAAAGCACTTTGAAATTTATTACTAGCTTGCTCCCTGCGATGAAATCAACAACCTGTATCTCGTGTCAGGCCGGGAGACAGATGAGGCGTGAGAAGGAGGAGGGGAAGGCTCTGGGCTCCTCTGCAAAAATAAAAAAAAAATTTAAAAATAACAGAATCACTATATACACACGTATAAAGAAATAAAAAAAGAAGTCTCAGTTGCAGCTATTTGTCAAAGTTAATATCCATTTCTTTTTATATACAGTGAATATTGCGCAATTAAGATCTGGGTTTCGAACCACTGAAATAATGAAGCAGCAACACCGGGTGATTTGAGGTGTTGGCATTCTTTGCTGATTTGGCTGTTCCCAATGTTTACATTATTTAATCTTGCAAAATTTATTCTGTGCACTTGGATGTGAAATGCTGTTAAGTTTTATTTTTTTTTATGTTGCTATCCTTGGATGTACCAACACACACACACACACACACACACACACACACAATGATCGGTAGAGATACTCTGTTTTATTTTGGTCATCTTTCAAAGTTATCAGGAACGGTGTTTAAAACAAGAAGAGAACTTTTCTAAGGAATGATACAGAGAAAGAATCCTTGTTTTATTTTAAAATGAATTGTAAAGCTTGTGTTTGTTGCTGCAAGCTGTTTGCCCAAGTTAATGCAAATGGACACATTTTATATGTCAGGAAAGAAAAACCATAAAAAAAAACAAAGAAAAAAATGCTTGAGCTTTTTCTAACCTCTCTCTGCAGTCCGTTGTGTGAGCAGCCTGTTTTCCCCTCTAATATTGTGTCAGTTTATTCTCTTTAATGGACTGTAAAAAAAATGTAATCACAAGAGTGCCAAATATCTTGAAATGCCAAAAGGCATTTTGGTTTCTTTTTCCCTGTGCTCTGAGTCCACGTAAAGGAATGCTTGGAGTGTCTTTTCTGTTATTTATAGGGGTTCTCTTAAGGCACACCAGCTGCCTGTTTTGCATGGTATTTGCAAAAATGCCTCTTGCGTGAGGAAATCTTTTACCATTTTTTTGTTTGCAACTTTGGACCTCAAGAGGTTTCTTCCCTTCCCTTTTTCCTCTTTTCTTAATTCGATATTCTGTATGTTGCACCTTTAACCAGCACACAGGGCTATTTCTCCGATGTACAATACAATAAAAGAACTGTTCCTGTGTCTCACTCCTCTCCTCTGCTTTGGTTGAGGGTGGTGGTGAGGGGGAGTTGCTTTTCGCCTGTTGGTTGCGTACAGGAAGGAGTGAAGGGTAGCTTTGGTCTGTGAAGCAAAAAGGTGAAGTGGAGGGCACTGTGGGTGGGGCTCAGATGGGAGGAAAGACAAGCTGGACAGCTAGGGCCATCCCCAAGAGCAAGTTCATCCTATGGGGGTTTTCACTGGGCTCTCCTTGCTTCCGGGTGGTTCCTGCCATCCCTGGTGGGGTGTGGAGAGAGGGAAGGTTGGTGGGGTGTCCAGACGCCGTCAGTTGTTAAGAGCGATGTTCGGAGGCTGACAGACTGGGATTCAAATCCCGGCTCCTTCACTTCCTAACTGTGTAGACTTGAGCAAGTCCCTTTGTGTCTTGAAGCCTCGGTTTGCAAATCTGTAAAGTGGGGATAATGCAGCTTCCAGCTACAGAGTTGTTGGGAGGATTAAGACAACAGCCTGTCCATGAAGCACTCAGGATCACGTGTGCACATGTCCTTTACTGAGGGCCACCCATCCACAAAGAGCTAGGCTCCTCCTCCCCTTGGTCCTGAGTTCACAGGTCCCTGGTTGGGGGATGGGCCTGGTCCCCTGGGGCCCACAGCCTGGGATGTCTGAGGCTTCCTCGCTCTGCAGTTTCCCTGCAATCACGGCTTAAAAATTCGCCTTATTAATTAAACAAAAGAAAGAAAGAAAAGCCCCTGGCTGTGTTCAGAGCAGTTAATGGACAGAGCGAGGCCCCTGCGGGAGGAGGGCTTGGGAGGAGGATTTTGGCTGAAGAGCTGCCGGGAGAGTCTTTTCTCCTGGACTGTTCCACATCCAGGAGCCCCGCTGCCGGCAGCTTTTAATGTGTTTGTTGTAAAACTGTCAGCCTGGGAGTCACAACACAGCTCACAGTGACGGGAGCCTGCCTGTGACTCAGACATCAGGTAAGACAGGCCCTGGGGTGGGGGAGGGGGGCAAGAGAGGGGCTGCAGAAGGCCTGTGGGGGAGGGGTGATGTGTGGCCTCCCTGCCCAGGCAGAGGAGGCCCAGACCTCAGGAGGTTCCAGCGGAGGGCTCCTCATCCCAGTCATCCCATCAGTCGTTATTAGGAATGGCGGGCAAGCTGGCGATGGCAGTGCCAGCGGGATGATTTGGGAATGCCAGATTGATTTTCCCAGGCACATGGCCCTGTCCCTGAACCTGGCTCTGCGCTCTGCTGACCCCAGAGAACCCCAGCATGTTGGAGTTAATGGGCCTTCAGCCGTCCAGGAGGCCAGCTTTTCCCATGAGACAGCTGAGGGCCACCTCCCAGAGAGTTAGGGGCGGGGCCCACCCTCTGGGCACCATCAATCTGCCGAGATACATGCCCGGGAGCCATATGGAAAGCTCCTTTCCGAAGAGACAGTCCTGCTCGCACCCAGGAGTGATCCCCTCTGATCAAAGCACCGTGCAGCTTCAAAGTGCTTTCCCTTCCGTCTCCCGTAATTGACCCAGCAACTCTGGAAACCCACCACCCTGAACTCCATTTAGTAGGCGAGGAATTCGGCACCCCAGAGGGGCTAAAAGGATGACACCACATCCACACTAACTAAGCTTTGACTGTTTGCCCCACTCGCAACAGCCCCATGAAGTACCCTGATTGTGCAGGAGGAGCCAGGGCTTCGAGACATTAAGTAACTTGTATGAGGTCTCTCAGCCAGTAAGTCCCTGGGGCAGAACTCGAACCAAGAGCCAGAGCTGCAGGATGGGGATGCAGAGTCATCTCGTCCTAGACTCAGGTTCAGTCCCAGCTGCAGCCACTGTCCTTGGGCCTTAAAGATCTTTTTCTCGGTTTGTCGTTTTGGGGCTGGGCTCTCCTGCTATTCTGCACAGCAGACAACTGCGGAAGGGGTCAGAGGGAGGCAGGGCTTGGATGTGGTCGGCTAAGGCCCAGAGCTGCCCTCTGCTGGGAAGGGGGGAGCGTGGGAGCCCTTGGCCAAGGCTCCAGGTCCATTTTAATAAGTGATGTATTAAAATGTTCCTGCTGGAGGCCATCCCGTCGGCCAAGGCTGGGTCCTCTGCCTGGGAAGACAGCCTGCCTGTCCCGAGGACTCCACTCAGCAAAAGGGAATGTAAATCTTATAAATCCACTCCAACATTGGGGTAAACATTTGTTGAGAAGGCGCTTGGGGGACTGGGCAGATAGCAAATTATACCAAGCGCAGGGTATCTGGTTCGGTAGCAATAAATATGAAAAAGGCCATTAATAGTTGGAGGTGGGGGAGGGGGTCTCCGCCTCCATGCGTGGACGGAGCACCCAGGGCTGCATTATTCAAACTCCACTAATTGAATGCTTGTAATAAGCATCCATCTCTTCGGATTCTGCTTCCGCAGCCTGTCCAGGCTGACAGCCTGAAGGAATATCAAAAAGCACCTCCAAGGGGGAAATTGGCAAATTAAGTTTTAAAAGAAAGAGACTACAAAATTACTGCTCTCTGGAGGCGACAGAGGAGGGAGCGAGCTCAGGGAGCCCCTGCAGGTGATGGGCAGTGAGTTCCGGGGCCCCGAGGGGGCCGGCGGAAAGGGGCAGACGTGAGCATGGCCGGGGCGAGTACAGGGCACGCATTTGGGACTTAGACGACTTGGGTTGGAAACTTCTCTGCAATGCTTTCTAGTTATGACTTGGGGCCAATTTCTCAAGCTCTTTGGGCCTCTGTAAAATGGGGGTGACAAAATGCCTACCACACAATCCAACAGGACCCCATTCTCCTCCCCAGCACAGGGCCTGGTGTGTAATAAATGGTAGCCATTGATGTGTGAACATATGTGAAGTGCCTACTAGGTGCCAGCGGTGGACTTTCAAGACCTAACAAACAGTTCTGGTCGCACAAAGCTCTTTGCAGATGGGTTTTGGCGGCCCGAGGGTACTAAGGGGCAGTGAAGGCATCACCATGGGGGTGGGGTGGGGGTGGGGGGGTGGGGAAGACAGCTTTCTTCTTATTATCTCCATCAGCTTCCCCCAAACCCCCAACAAATCCAATCCTAAGTAAATCTGTGTGCTTTCTCTTCAAAGCAGTGTGGGGAGAAGTCTCCCTTCCCTTCGAACCAGACTGTTGGAAGTCTTCCCTCTTTTGGATGGAGACTCGCAGGTATGACTCTGTGCCTCAGGAAGGGAGGAGCTTGGCTTTCTGCTTGGGGTCCTCCCTTTACAGAGGGGCCTGTGCTAGGCTCATGGGGTGTGCCATGGTGAGGAAATGAGCGTTTTCTCGGGTTTGAGAATGATGGCGTTTCCCATGGAAGTGAGTTTTGGGAGCGTGGGGTTTGGATCCTCCCAATGTCGGCAGCTCAGCTCCTTAATGTGGCAACAAGAGAGAACCAAAGGGAACTGGCTCTTGGGTTTGCTTGACATGCAAACACGAGAGTCATTTAAAAAAATAACCTTTAGTGTTGCAGGTTCGATTCCCAGTCAGGGTACATGCCTGGGTTGCAGGCCATGACCCCCAGCAACCGCACATTGATGTTTCTCTCTCTCTCTCTCCCTCTCTAAAAATAAATAAATAAAATCTTTTAAATAAAAAAATAAACTTTTACTTTAGAATATTTGTGAAGGTAGTACATCTACCCCAACCCAATTTCTCCCATTGCTTACAACCAATATCGCTATGATCCATTTTTCACCACGAAGGAACCAACACCGGTACATCGCTGTCAACCGAACTGCCCATTTCACTTAGATTTCATTTATTTTTCATCTGTTGTCCTTTTCCTGATCCAGGATGCCATCCGGAATACGTGACTTTGACTTTTAGTCACTGTGTCTCTATAGGCACCCCTTGGCTGAGACAGTTTCCCAGACTTTTCTTGTTTTTGATGGGATGCTGGTCAGGTGTTTTGTAGATGTCCCCAAAATTGGGGTTTGTCTGATGTTTTTCTTATGGTTCAACTGGAGTTAACGGGTTTCAGGAGCAAGATCGCAGAGGTCAAGGGTCATTCTCATCACATCGTATCAAGGATCCAGACTATGAACATGGCTCACAACTGTCGATATTGACCTTGCTCACCCGTCCAGCCGAGATCGTGTTTGTCATGTTTCCTCACTGCAGAGCTCCCCTCCTGCACCCCTTTCTGTGCTGTCTCCTTTGGAAGGAAATCACTGTGTGTAGCCCGCTCAGAGGCGGGGAGCCACGCTCCCTCTCTGAGGGAGGAGTGTCTCTAGAAAGTACTTGGGATTCTTCTGCCCAGGTGATGTGAGTGACCCACTTTCAGCCGTTCAACTCTGCCTCAGTGCTGGGCAGGCCGCTGTGGTTTAGATGTAATCGTGAGTTCCAGGCAAGCCGGGGAGAAACAGAAATGCCCACAAAGCCCAGGCAGTGGCCTGATGATGACCGATAGATGGAACTTTACGAAAGAGAGGGAGGGAGGGAGGGAGGGGGGGAGGGAGGGAGATATTAAAAAAAACCCTTAATAAAAGCAACTTCCTGTGGAGGGGAACTGTCACCCTCTTAGAAACTGTGCAGAAATTTCTCTTGGAAACCTTCAGGCAGCTGCTCTGGTTTATAAAATCTGCCTATTGGAGGGAAGGAGAAGGGGAAAAAAGGTTGTCATTCCAACAGCAGAGATTCTCCCAAACCGTGTGCAAAAATAATCCCTGGAGACGGAGCAGTATCCGGGGAAACCGGGCAGCTGGGCTGGAGCTTGTGGGGTGGCCCCCTGGGATAGAAAGCCTGTGCCCCCCTCCCCGCTGCCCCAGCCACTTCTCTCGTGGGACCAGGAGCCCAGAAAACCCCACCTGGTCCACATCGGGCCCCCCCCGCCCACCCTCCTTCCTTTCTGGGATGAAAATTTGGCTGATCTTGTTACCCCTCACGGGGGAGGGTTTGTCCTTAACCCGGGGCAGTGCTCACCCAGGGGCTGAAGGAAGCTCCTTGACCTAGAAACAGCTGTTTTGGAGACAAACGGTCGCTCAGGGGAAGGGAGGTCGGGAAGGGCAGGCGGAAGGGAAGACGGACCCGGGAAAT